CCCTCCCCTCCCCTTCCCTCCCTTTCTTTCCCTCCCCTGCCCTCCCTTTCCCTCCTCTCCCCTCCCCTTCCCTTTCCTTCCCTTCTTTCCTCACTCTTTCCCCTTCCTTTTCTTTTAACAAGTATTTATCAAGACCTACTATGTGCCTGACACTGTTCTAGGTCTTCAAAATATAGTGAACAAAACAAAGACTGTGCTATTATGAAACTCACATTCTAGCAGGTGAGCCTGGTGACAAACAAGTAAATAGAACGTGTTAGATGGAGTGACAGCAAGCTGAGCAGAGGTCAGCAGTGAGAGGGGACCATGGGAGGTCATTGTTTTATAAGGTCTTTAAAGGTGACAGTTAAGATAAGGACTGAGAGTTGGCTATTGAATTTGGCAACATGGAGATCACTGGTGACACTGACAAGAACTATTTTCATGGAATGAAATGGGAATAAAACCGTCTAATAGAAGACAGACCCACAGTTATGGGAATGGAGCTGGAAAACTCCACTGGATATCTATGTGGGGGGAAAGTGAACCTTGCCACACGTGTGTGTATGCTCATGCCATACACAAAAATTAGTTTGTGAGAAATTGCAGATCCAAATGTAAAAGCTGAAATTGTACTTAAAATTTAAAATTTTTGATCCTTTTTGCTGGTTGTTAAAATTGTTAAAGGATGTTAGGAATATACCTAACAAAAGAGGTGAAGGACTTCTATAAAGAAAATTATGAAACCCTAAGAAAAGAAATAGCAGAAGGTATTAACAAATGGAAGAACATACCATGCTCATGGCTGGGAAGAATCAATATTGTTTAAACATCTATACTTCCCAAAGCAATCTACAGATTCAATGTCATTCCTATTAGAATACCAACATTGTACTGTTAATTATTTTTATTGGAAAAAATAGTTCTTCATTTTGTATGGAATCAGAAAAGATCTATATAGCCAACAACACCCTTTAAAATTTAAAATTTTGGATCCTTTTTGCTGGTTGAAAGATAGTGTTAATAATGCCAGCAAAAGTGGGGGAGGAGGGAACTTCAAAGGCTCATCACTCCACAAAAGAGGTGAATAAGCCAGCAGGAGCCGTCAGGATCAATTTTAATAGAACTCCAAAAACAAATCAAGGCTTTCCCAGCAGCAGCTGGACTCTCAGTTAGTGCGGGAGACCTGAGTCTCCCCGTGGCCTTTTCACTCACTCCTGCAGCATTCCCTGAGACCCAGCTAAGCAATGGCCTTGAACACCAGCAACCTGCATTTATAGTACAGGAGCATAGTAATGGAGGGAGAAAAATAGAGCTTATTTATTTTCAAATAGTTGTCAGTGTTTGTTTTGACCTGTCTGGAGCTCCCTAAATGACTAGCTCAGAAGGCTTGCCTTTATTACACCTAAATCAGATCTTTCTTAGGGCTCAGGCAGCGACCTGCAAGGCACCTGTCACAAACATTTAATATGTAAATGCATTAGTTGCTGCCACCAGGGGCAAGGGCTAACTGTTGGAGCAAATAATAGACTAACAGAAAAGCTCAAAAGGGAAGGATGGGCTATGAGACTCTTTGGGAAATAAGGGCTTGCAAAGCCCTCACATGTTCTGGGGACCCCAGGAGGCTGTGTCCAGAGTGGGGAGCCTGCTCAGGAAAGCTCTCACGAGGCCCTAAGCTTTCCCATCAACGCTGACCTCAGGCTCTGCTCAGCAGACAGTAAAGGTTAGGGTAGAATTGTAAACTGAGTGGTTAAGCAGTGCTCCAACACACGGGCAGAGCCCAGCCGCAAAGACTGGGAGGTTTTCTTTCTTTCTTTTTTTGGTCTTCATAACGATTTTTTAAAAATTTCAGATTAATATGAGGATACATATGATTAGGTTACATTGTTTACATTTCTAAGGTGAAGTCCAAGTCCAGTGGAGCCCTTCACCCAGGCAGTGTGCCAGATACTCCTACATTGTCCCCTTTAGGTGGGAACTTACCAAATCCCCTCGCCCCCACCCCACTCCCCCTCTCCTCTCCCTTTCCTCCTGCTCCCTCCCTCCTCCCTCCCTCCTCCCTTCTTGAATTTAATTGTGTTTTCCTCTCACGTGGGCCTACAGATGCTGAGCTACTGGTTTCAACATAGTACTGAGTACATGGGATGCTTGTTGTTCCATCTTGAGATACTTAGGAGAATGTTCTCCGAATCCATCTGGGTAAATACAGAAGACACGAAGTCTCCATCTTTTTATGGCGGACTAGCATTCCATGGTGTACGCACACCACGTACAATCCTCTCAATAGATGCAGAACAAGCATTTGACAAAATACAGCATCCATTTTCTGATGGGAGAGTTTCTTTTTTTATTCTTTTTTTGGTTGCTTGGTTCTAACCATTTATGGAAATTCCAGTCGACCTATCAAATCACTAGCTAACCACTAAGCTAACAGAAGAGAGACTGTGACAAAGTATAGCCTTCACAAAATTAATGCAGAGACATCACTCAACAGGCAATAACAGCCTCAACAAGCAGTAACAACAAACCCAGAGGAGAGGGTAGAGTCCAATATACAGAGATGCAACGTTTTAATACTCAAAATCTCCAGTTTTTTGTAAAATTATGAAGTATGCAAAGAAATAAGAGAGTATGGCCCATGCATAGACAAAAAAATTAATAGAAATTGTTCTTTTAAGCCTAGGTATTGGACTTGTTAGACAAAGACTTTATTTGAATCAACAGTTTTTTTATTTACATTTTTTTTTTATTGTTGGAGATTCATTGAGGGTACAAAGAATCAGGTTACATTGATTGCATTTGTTAGATAAAGTCCCTCTTATAATTGTGTCTCACCCTCAAAAGGTGTGTCACACACAATGCCCCTCCTTCCCTTTCTCTGCTCTTCCCTCCTCCACCCCCCACTGTGTACTAGGTCATTAATTGTCCTCATATCAGAATTAAATACATAGGAGTCTTGCTTCTCCATTCTTGTGAAGTTTTACTAAGAATAATGTGTTCCACTTCCATCCAGGTTAATACGAAGGATGTAAACTCTCCATTTTTTTTTTAAATGGCTGAATAGTACTTCATGGTATACATATGCCACAGCTTGTTAATCCATTCCTGGGTTGGATGTAAATGGGCATTTAGGCTGTTTCCACATTTTGGTGATTATAAATTAAGCTGCGATAAACAGTCTAGTGCAAGTGTCCTTATAGTAAAAGGATTTTTTTTCCTTCTGGATAGATGCCCAGTAATGGGATTGCAGGATCAAAT